CAAACATTTTATCTAGAAAAGCATCTTCATCACCCTCCCCATCAGGCTAACTGTAGCTGGCTCGGTGTCAGGCCCTAAATCAGGGCTAGATTGTCCTTCCAGGGAAATGTCTGCCTCAGAGAGAAGCAAAATCACTTACCTCTTGGCAGCTCGGTCCCTGACAGGGGGAAGGTGACCTGCCGCTGAACCTACAGCCAGCATGGCACACCACTCCTCCTGCTGGGAGCAGATGGCACCCTATGCTTGCCTACCCCAGCTCCCTGTTCAACTAGGAGAATAGCAGAGACCTCAGGGAAGCAAGTCCACACCCACTCTCCTCCACACACACACCCTCCTGCAAGTGACTATTGGAGGGCACAATGAATCTCACACAGCCCCATCTTCCAGGAGCAAGGGAGGGGAAAGCCACAGATACAGATGATAGCTGGACTCACTCTTCTTTGTAGGGGATCAAAGAAGGCTTTGGGACAGAGGTGACATTAGAGGTGGCTTTGAGGATTAAAAGAATACTGCAGATATAGGGATAGAAGTAGAGTGAGTTGGAGGGGAGGGAGCAAGGGTGAAAACAGGGACCCCAGTCTGGAGGCCACCACAGTCATCCGGGAGAGAGCCCCGCATGAGGGTGGGAGTGGCGGAGGTGGGAGAGGTGTATGGATTCTGACTGGACTTTGAAAAGTTATGCAGACAGGGTATTTTCTGGCTGATTGGATGCTGTAGATGAAGGAAAGAGAGGGGTCCAAGATGACATCAGGGGCTTTGGCCTGAGCAGCTAGAAAGACAGATGTGCCATTACCAATATGGGAAGATGAGCAGGTTCACTAGGAAACACTAAGAGGTGAGTTATGGTGGCATCAAGTGGGTACTTGGCTACATGTACACAATCATCCATGTACCACCTTCATGTGACACTAGAACAATTATCTATATAATTTTCTTTTTATCAATTTTCAGTAGGCCGACAGTTCCATGCTAACCAATCTTATCCATAACATCAAGGGGTTTTCAGACCTCTATTATTCTCTTTTCTGAATGCAATCAGTAATGACAACCATAGTTCCCAACCCTGACGTTGTCTCCTTCCCCGGTCTCTAACACTCTGGGCACCTAGCATGCACAAACTTGGACTGAGCATTGGTTTTGACACCCAGGAACTTCTGACAGCCTTCACAGGGACCACAGTGGGCACACTGGGAAATAGACCTGGTCCAATAGCTCTGCAAGGCCCCGTGATGGGGGCAGCCACCTAACTGCCTCAACAGGCCCTGCTTAGTCCTCTGGTCAGTGAGGGGTTCAATGAGTAGAGCCCACCACCCTTTCCTGAGGTCCATGCGCCCTCTGGTGGTAGGGTTCCTCATTTCTGTGCAGTGGGGTCTTCCTTGTTTTCAGGCTAAACAGAAGACGGAGACTCTCTGCCTTGGATTCACCCAAAGGAAAGGAGAAATGGTCAGACTAACTTTAAGCTCCAAAACAAGGAATAGATCAATGGTTCTGAGGCTTGCTGGGCCTGCCAGGCAAGGGCCACCACAGGTCAGAGCAAAAGCAGAGGGAGTGTGGTGGGCAGAAGAGAGGACTTTTGTTTTCTATAGAAGGTCACCAATGCAGAGAAAATCAAACTGATGGTCACATTCAAATAGAGCAATTTACCTTCAATGGGTGTTTTAAAAGTAAAATAAAAAACATTCCAATTTAAACATTTTAAAATCAAGAGCAGGTAACATCAGGCTGTGCTGAATAAATCCAACACATAATGTAAAATGTACTTCAGTTCTTATATTACAGGCAGCTAGAGGAGAGAGGCGGGGGCGGCAGCCAGCAACAGACAGGAGAGACAGCAACCTGAGAGAGGGTGGGTGAGGGGATAGCCAGAGACAGACACCGCCTAGGCTGACATCCAAGTCCTCACACAGGCGTACACACACACACACACACACACACACACACGACAAGCTGCACACATATTTCTTCTGTCATTTCTTCATCCTTTTCTCAGTGAACAAACTGTCTTTAGATGAGAAGATATTATTGCTAAACAGACATTTGCAGACCGATGTGCAACTGAGTCTCACATAGAAAGCTGTGGTAGGACTCAGAAAAGGGGTCTGTGAACTGAGTCTCAGAGGAAGAGGCAGAAAATGGTAATCTAGGCAGAGGGAACAGCATGAGGAAATACCTGAAAGAATTCTATGACCTTAACACTAACTTCCCAAAAAGGAAGTTTTCCTCACCTCTAAAAATGAATTCAATGTAATTTTTTTTTTTTTTTTTTGATACGGAGTTTCACTCTTGTTACCCAGGCTGCAGTGCAATGGCGCAATCCCGGCTCACCGCAACCTCCGCCTCCAGGGTTCAGGCAATTCTCCTGCCTCAGCCTCCCCAGTAGCTGGGACCACAGGCACGCGCCACCGTGCCCAGCTAATTTTTTGTATTTTTAGTAGAGACGGGGTTTCACCAGGTTGACCAGGATGGTCTCGATCTCTTGACCTCGTGATCCACCCGCCTCGGCCTCCCAAAGTGCTGGGATTACAGGCTTGAGCCACCGCGACCGGCCTCAATGTAATTTTATTAAGAGAAGGAAATCTAGACCTTCCTCTAATGACAATCAAGTCCACCCTCACTGTCGTCAAAAAATGCTCAACCCCCAAAACAGTAATTAGCCTGAGGTATTGTGAATGTGGCTCTACAGTCGGAAATTTAATGGCGTCTTTTGTCAAAAATAGTCTTACTTCCACTTTAGTTTCCTGACCGCAATACTATAGTGCAATCCCTGTAGTATGTACTACAGTACAGTCATCAAAACTATCTGAAAAAATTCTTGGACCTTATGAGATAGTATGTCCATCCACTTCTATACAAATAGGAACCGAGCAGAGATCCAGAGCAGACGAAGGGAGTGTTAAGGTCTTGGAATGTGAACACATTTCTCTTTATTTTTAAAATGATTTCTTTTGATTTGACACTCAGTGCTCTGTTTTCCTTTTTTCATCTAAATGCAGCTTTTTCTGAACTTAAAGGTAGAATCCCATTTTTAATGAACTGAAATAGCAAAATCATCTTTTTCATTCTTTCAGAAAACAAGCTATTGCCAAAGTGAAGATAATACCTAGTCTTGTTATATAATGGGGATGTGGTTTGCAGAAGAATTTTCTTTATAAAATTGAAGTTTCAAGGGATGTCCATGTTTATGCCATTTTTCCAGGTCCAAAATGATTCCATTCAATTGTAGAAATTTGAAGTATGTCACTTGAAATCCTTAATAAAATTTGGATTTAACTACATATTTTAAATATTATATATTTAATTATATATATAATTCGGATTTAATTATATATATAATTAAACATATATAAATAATTAAATATATATGTTATATGTATATAAATTAAAGTATATATATATATAATTAAATCCAAATTTTATTAAGGATTTAAAGTTACGTACTTCAAATATATATACACATAAAAGAAAATACCTGAAAGCTTAAGAGAATATAGACATTCAAGACACAGAAAAAAGTTGTGAGAGATTATACCCAAGGATATCTGGGGAAAAGAAAGCTGGAAAGTGGTGGGATTTGAGCCCTGGAGTCTGTGTCTTAAACCAATGGGCTCTCCATGTGATCCAGAGAAGATGTCTGCCTTGCCCTGGGGCAAAGCAAATCCAAGACACAATGTCCACCCCATGATGTGCGCTGGAAATCAGGCACCTGTTGGGGCTGGGCTGAGGGCGAACCAGGCTCTGGAGAGAACACTGCAGATTTCTTGCTGAAAACAAGGTAAAAAATTTTAATGCAGTCGTGCCCCCATTTCTGGCTCCAGTACCATCTTACACCTGCAAAAATTACATATTGTCCTGGTTCAAAGACATGGTTAAAAACTGAATTGAGTGCAACCTTAGTAATGAGGGTATTGGCAAGGAGCTGGCTGGGTCTCCAAAGACTCCTCCTGTTGCTGGGGGTTCTCTTGAGGCAGAGGGGTTTAGAGCCTTTCATCCAAGCCCAATAACCAAAGGGAGAGTGTACACAAACCACTGCTCCATTATGAATGCCTATCCCTCATGCTGCAACTTTCAGGGACCAGGACTTAGGGATATGTAATGATGCAGCTCCCTCCAGGTGAATCTTCCCCTGGTTAAGATTTCTTCCTCTAAGCTAGGGAAGAGGTCAAGAAAGTACACTAAATGGAAAAGAAGCCTGGCTAGAAGGATGAATTCACATAAAAAGGAATGGCGATGCCAAAAGCTCAGGCAAAAGAAGCAAAACTGGATGAACCAGATTACAACAAAATTAAAGATTTCTGTACACCAAGGGACACAATTCACATGGTCACACAGTGAAAAGGCAACCTAGAGAATAAGGAAAATAGTTCAAATCATATCTGATAAAGGGTTAATATCCATACTATATAAAGAATTTCTACAACTTGACAGTCCAATAAAAAAATGGCCAAAGAACTTGAATATACATTTCTCCAAAAAAGATATGCAAATGGCCAAGAAGCCTGTGAAAATATGCTCAAAATCACCACTCATTAGAGAAATGAAAATCAAAACTACAGTAAGATCCACCTCACACTCATTAGGATGGCTACTAAAAACATAGAAAATAAGTGATGGTGAGAATGTGGAGAGATTGGAACCCTTGTGCACTGTTGGTGAGAATGTAAAATGATGCCACTGTCTTGGCGACACACAAAAAAGAAAATGGTTCCTCAGAAAAATAAAAATAGAATTTCTATGTGATCCAGCAATTCCATTCCTATATACCAAAAAAACTGAAAACAGGGTCTCAAAGAGCTATTTGTATAACCACGTGTATAGGAATATTCACCATACCCAAATGGTGGAAACAACCCAGGTGCTCATCAAAAAATATACACATATGCAAAATATACAATCAAATATTATTTGGCCTTAAAAAGGAAGGAAATTGTGACACATGCTATGACATGGTTGAGTCTTGAAGATGTTATGTTATGTGAAATAAGCGAGACACAAAGGACAAATATTGTATGATTCCATTTATATGAGATCCCTAGAGAAGTCAAATTTATAGAGACAAAAAAAGTAGAATGGTGGCTGCCGGGGGCTGGGTGGAAGGAGCAATGGGGAATTGTTTAATGGGGGCAAAGTTTTAGTTTCAAGATGAAAAACTCTCAAGATTGTTTTCACAACAATGTGAATATACTTAACACTACTGAACCGTACACTTAAAAGTGATTACGATGGTAAATTGTGTGTGTATTTCACCACAAGAAGTACATGAATAAGTGAGTGCTGTGCATGTGAACAGGAAGGCCTCTGAGTCTGCACCTAGATTTTCTTGCCCACTAATCAGTATTCGTCCTTCAGGACTGAAAGTTGTGCTACTCCGGGAGATCTTCCCTAACTCCCCCAGCAGAGCCAGTGTTTGGCCAGCTGTGTTTCTTTGTTCATTCATTCGCTCATTCCTGTATTCACTTACTCCCTCGATGAATAAATGTTCTCTGAATGCTCCTCTGTGCCAGCTATGTCACTGAAGCTGCAAAGAGACCCATGAGGGAGATCATCTTGACCTTGCCCATAGCCTAGAGGGGAAACGAAGTCCACCAAAACAGATGCCACATTATGAAACCAGGACAGAGAGTCTGTTTTGCACTGTAGGAGCCTATAAAGATGATTGACTAGTGTGGGAGTGGTTGCGGTCAAGTGGGCCTTCTCTGAGACGGTGGTGCCAGAGCTAAGCCCTGAAGGACCCATAAGGCTTAGGCAGGCAAGAGAAGGCAGCAGAGTGTATTTCAGATTGAAAAAGTTCTGGTTAGGAGCAAAGAAAAGTACAGTCTGTCCTTCATATCCTTGCATTTCACATCTGCAGGTTCAACCAATGGCAGATTGAAAATATTCAGGAAAAAAAATAAAAGATCGAAATAATACAAAGAGCAGATACAGTATAACAGCTATTTCCATAGCACTGACATTGTATTAGGTATTAGAAATAATCAAGAGATGATTTAAAGTATGGAAGGGTATGCATAGTTTATATTCAAATGCTATGTCATGTTATATTAGAGACTTGAACATACACAAATTTTGTTATTCATGGGGACTCCTGAAAGCAATCCCTCATGAATACTGATGGACATCCATATAGGGAAAAGAGAGGGATTCATGGAGGGAGGGGGAGAATGTGGATAGCAGAGTTAAGCAATAACCACCGATAGTTCAAAGGAATTTGAACTTGTAGGTGCCTCTAATGCAGTTATTAACTTGAAGAGTCTCCACACCAGCAGCCGTTTTCAGTGCCTCTTCAGAAATGCTCTGCAGAGAGGAAGGGGTGGCCAGAGCTGCCAGCTACCCCTGTCTCCAGGTGGACAATTGCCAGTTGCCTTGCTTCTCACTCCATGCCGTGGAATGGACCAGAAGCCTGGTCCATCTCCCTGGTCCAGAGAAGTCTGCAGAGACCCCATCCTGGCTAGCAAACAGACCAATCAATCCACAGAGCAGGAACTGGAGTGTGTGATGGGGAGGAACAGCCCTGAGTGGGCACCCTCCTGCCCTCTCCCAACAACACTATCACATTCCTTGGCCTGTCATGGGAGACAGACACTGGGGACCTGGCCTAAATGTCTATAGTCGGTGCTCGAAGTACATGCATGTGCAGAGGAAAGGGAGTATTCAGAAACCATGTTAGAAAAAGTGGCGGCCAGAACCAAGGGAGGAGTGTCTAGGTGCAAAAGAGCCAGAGGGGGGCAGTACTGCAGCAAGGTGTATGTCATTTTGCAAATGGGCTTCTTCAGAGCAGATCATTATCCAGGTTCCCAGTCCCAGACAGACCCCTGGAAGACAGATAAGCTTCTCCCTTTTCCCTTCCTCAGACTTGGGCAGGCTGAAGCTCCCGGAAGCCCAGCCAACACAGTCTGTACTCTCCAAAAACTTGGGCTAAACTTGGAGGCAGAATCTTGGATGTTTAGGCCAAAAACCTGGAGTCGGAGACGCTTTGGAGAGAATTCAGGGGACATGAAGGTAATTCATATAAATCCGGAGATCTAAATAGCTCCTCTAGCTCCTGGAATCAAGGCCAAGGATGGAGAGGCAGTTGGGCCCCAGGCGTTATGGCTTGTCATCAGCAGCCGGCTCGGGGCTGTTCATCCCATCAGACAGGTAGTCATCTTCATTGTTCTGTTTCATCTTGGTCTCCAAAATCGTTATGCGCTGCTTGAGCTTCTGCTGGGCCCCTGTGTACTCAGCCAGCAGGCGGCCAAAGCGAGTGTACAAGGTTTCCATGTTGGTCTCCAGCTGCCCTAGCTTCTCCTGCACGTCCACTTCCATGCTGGTTGCCACTTCTTTCTCATCCAGCAGCCCCTCCTTCATGAGGATCTCTCGACCCCTCTCTTCTAGAACCTTCTTGGCATCAGGGTATTCAGTCACTGCTTCCATGAGATCATCCTTGGACAAGCAGAAGAGATCTGAGTAGCCCAGGCTGCGGATATTAGCCGTGCGTCGATTTCCCATTTTACTGCCCTTAATGTTAAGGATACTGATCTCTCCAAAGCAGCTTCCAGCAGAGAGCAGGGCATACTGAGTCACACCATCATCAGCCACCACTGCCAGCTTGCCCTCCTTAATGATGTACATCTCCTTGCCGATGTCCCCTTTGCGGCAAATGTAATCCCCAGGACTGAACACCTGAGGACGGAGTTTCAGTACCAGCTCTACCAGCAGGCCAGCCTCACAATCATGGAAGATGCGCACTTTCTTGAGTGTGGACAGGTGGACATTGATGGCTATCTCAGCCCTGAGCTTGGCTGGCAGGTTCTTGAGAACTTCCCTTTCATCTACTGTCTTCTTATTGGTCCACAAATAGTCAAACCACCGAATGACCTTGGCTTCCATCTCCTTGCTGACCTTTCGGAACTGCATGTAGTGTTTCACGGCATCGATCTTAGCCTGGAACTCTGCCCGCGTGGCATTCATGTTGGAGATCATGGAGCCCACATTTCCCACTATGGTGGCAAAGATGAGGACGCCAATCAGGAAGTCAAAGATGACAAAAAGGTACTCCTCATCCTTTACAGGGGGTGGTGTCTCCCCAATGGTGGTGAGGGTCAGTGTGGACCAATAAAGGCAATAGATGTATTCCCTAGCCAGGTAGCCATACTCGGGGTCAGTGATGTTGGGGTAAACCCAGGTGTCGACCCCAAAGCCTATGGATTTGGAGATGGCATAATAGATGCAGGCATTCCAGTGGATGATGACCAAGATGTAGAGGACAAGGTTGCTGATGCGGAAGATGTTAGGGTAGCTGGTGCGTGTCTCTGTCCGGTCAAAGAACTCAAACATGCGGGCAAAGTGCAGCAGGCGGTTGAAGCGCACCTCAGGGCTGTGAATGCCCACAGCAAAATAGATCAGGTCAGTGGGGATGATGGAAGCCATATCCAGCTTGAACTGCAGGGTGTGGATGTAGTTGTCTCGCAGTTTCTTGGTATCTTTGACCAGCAGCCCCTGCTCCAGGAAACCTAGTAGAGATGCAAGCCAGCATGGCCCTCTGCCCTCAGGTCTATCCTTCCCTATAGGCCATGAAAATACTGCTTACTGAAACTTCCTTCCCAAGGAGGGATGTAGCTCACATAGCAGGGCTGGCCAGAAGGACTGTAAGAGAACACCCCCAGATCCAAACCTCTCTAAGCATGTAGGACCATGAGGTTCAAAGAAGGGTACTCACCTACCAGAGTCCCACCCCAGCAATTTAGTCCAACACCATTCACTGGGCTTCCAAAAATTTTGGACTCAGGCCTTCAGACTTACCTGCATCCCAGTTGCTCACTGACCTGTGCGTAATCGGATGAAGAGGTCTGCAATGTAGACCACATCTGAGACATAGTCCAGCACCAACCACACCAGGTAGTAGCTGTGCTGTAGGTCACTGAAACAGGCTCTGCAGGAGGACAGGGCTTAGCTTCACCCTCGAAGCAAGCCAAAGGTACCCTAGAGGCCCTAAATTAAGTGTTCACTGTGTGCATGGGTTGGGATGGCTACCAGGGGCATCATTCAGTCACAGTCAGCCTGATGTCAAGAGACATTTATCTATAAGCAGCTTCTTCCCCACCCCTCCTCATTACATAGACACCACTACATAGACAACACCATTGGCCATTAATTTTCTGTCTCACCCTCTGAACTGTGAGCTCCAGGAAGGCAGGGACCCCTCCTAGTCATTATGGCATGCCCCATGCCTGACCCAGGGCACCAGGATTTGAGGGCTCAATGGCTGTGAATTGAATGAATGAACAAGCCCTTGGAAGAACGAACTACGGCATACAACTGAACCGCCTCCATGCTCATCTCCTCAACATACACCTTATTCAGCACCCAACATGCAGCGCTAGCCAATACATGAGAAAGAGGGTAGGAGTTGGAATGGAGAAAAGTTTAGAGGCTGCAGGAACTTTTTAGAAGGAAGTGGCAGGATTTGGCAACTGAGTAGGGAGAGGGTTGGGGAGAGGGCCAAGGCAGGGACAGAGCCCAGGATGATTGTCCAGTGAGGTACTAGCCAAAGGGGAGAACCATTAATTCTGACTACTTGGTCACATTTAGACTCAATGCGACTGCAGAGCTGGCCCATGGCAGTGATGACTCACTCATAGCCTCCAGTCACAGTAGGCCATCCTGAGAGAGTGTTCGCGTTTGCTGTTTCTTCTGCCCAGAATGCTCCCTCCACCATCCTCAAGTATCTAATTAGCTGCCTCCCTCCCACCAGCTAAGGCATCAACTCTTTAGAGAGGTTGATCCTGACCACCCTTTCTCTAGCAGCTCCCTGCCACCAGCCCCTGGCATTATCCTGGTCATTTGTTTCATTTCGGGTTTAGAGTCAGTGTCTGCCACTAGTCTCAGACTGCTCCAGGAGAGCAGAGACCATGGCTGTTGTTCTCCCCACATTATCCCCAGCACTGAGCACACATGAGATGCTCAGTCAAATCCTTGCTACATGAATGGCTGGGATAGGGATGGAGTAGGATGGGGTTAGGGAACATTTAGATAGTGGCTTTTGAACTGAGCCTGCAAGGAGAAGAATCTCCATAAGTGGAAAATCGCATATTCTGATCCAAAAGAGGTGAATGCTGTGGCTGGGGTGTGTCCAGAAGGTGGAGCAAGAGAAAAAGGCCAGGTCCAGAGGAGTTTGAAGGCAGTACTTAGGCCTTGAACTTCATCCTGTGGACAACGGGGAGCCACTGAAGGGTTTGTGAGGAGGGAGTGGCATCACCAAATCCTAGTTCTCTATCAAGTATGTTTGTTGCAAATGTGGAGGATGCACCATAAATTCGTGGAGCCACTGCAGTTGCCCCAGACACAAGACAGACAAGAAATCTTCATGGCATATCAAATGGGGAGAGGGCAGCGGTTAAGAGAAACTGGAGGTGCCACTGGTAGCCAGGGACTACTGCCTTGTCAATCCCAGGGTCTGAAGACTGGGCGACTTTGGCTACCCCTTCTGGGCCCCATTCTGCTCACCTGGCCACCAGCAGGCACCAGTTGTAAAGGACAGGCATGGCAATGACAAACAGCCAGCGGTAGTACCAGTCTCCGGCTGGGTCCAAAACAAATAGTTCAAATTTCTTCCTGAGAAGACAGACAAAGGCCAGGCTTGGGGATCAGGTCCCCTCAGTGTGATAGCACCCCAGATCCCAGAAACCAGAGGTGCCTGAGAAAGCACTACCTACAGGAATATGTGGGGTGAAGGATGGGTTGGCTAAGGGCCCAACCCATCCTTCAGGCTGAGGGCCCCATTTTTCAGGGACCTACAACCTGGTACTGGGCATCTGAGTGGAGCTCACATGGGGGTAGGCACCTATCTTCCCATTCTGAATCAGGATAGGTCCATTGGCTCCCATGCACCTTGCAGGCCCCTTGACCAGAGGGCATGTCAAGGGGCAGAACTTTCAGTAGTAGTGGGTCTCAGGGCCTGGGAAGGGATTTCCACAGGATGGTAATGGAGGCTTAGCCCTATTCCCACATCCCTCCCTAAAGAGAGTGGCTCCAGGCGAGTGAGCACCATAAACTTCCCGCCTACCTCAGCCTCCCTTTTAGGTCATTGGCCTCCAACCTCCAAATCACTTTCCCCGATGTTGTGCCCTGCTTTGGCAAAGGACCTTTCCTTCCACTGGCCACAGATGGGGAATGTCAGCTTAGCCAGACATCTGCAGTTGCCTAATCATGCCTCAAAGGACAGAACCTCCAGTTCTGCCTTCTCTGCCCTCCCCATGCTGTCCTGCTCCATCATTCAGCCCTTCTTCTTCAGCCCTTTACAAAGACCCACTTCCCCACCCACAATGGAGCTGAGATTGGCATCCCCTCCAGGGCACTCCCTAAGTGCACCCTCTCAGCATTTCCTGACCACTGGAACTAGGCTGTACATTAATGTGCAGCAATAGGACATCTGGCAAGAGGCAACTAAGGTGAGAAAAGACACCAGAGGTTCTTATGGCAAGTAGGCCACTGGCTGTTGGGGGGACACAATGGAGATATTCTGGATTTGAAAACATTGCAAGTCACCCTTGCCCTCCACTCTGCTTACTACAGCAGGGCTTGTCGTAGCCCCTGGCAATAGCATAGAAACCCCAGTGAGCTCTTCCATTGCGTGCTTGGAGCCCATTTGAGCCCCACAGGATGAACAGTGTACTTGGTGCCTTTGTCCTCGCCATCCTTGTCGCCTTTGCCATCCCCCTGCTGTGTCGTCACAGTCTGGAGCTCAGGCCCACGAAAACGCTCGAGGAATGAGTCAGGCCTAGGTTCCTCTTGTCGGAAATTTTTGTTGGCCCACTCTCTGATGACCCCCACCAGGTGAACTATCCTAGAGGTAAGAGAAAGAAAGTATGAGCCAAGATTCATGCTGTTCACAGAGCACCTGTCCCCAGGAGCTCACTGTCCACTGAGGAAGATGAAAGAAGGACGGTGAAACCAAGAAACAGGCCAGGCCATGATTTCACATGTGCTAAAAGCTGGTGTAAAGGCCAGCACGTAGAGCACGGGGCTAGGACTCAGGCATGATGGTGAGTGCAGTCCTGGGAAGACCATCTCAGTTGATGGTGAGAAGAGCAAACAGGATGTCTTCAGGGCAAGATGGAGGTTGTGTTAAGGCAAGACCTGTCAGGAAAAAAGCTTTCCCTGAGATTCCTGCTTTCCCTATGAAGCCTGTAACTCTGGGATAGAGAGGCTTTGGGTCCTCTACCCAGGCCTCTCTACTGGGAAGGGTATTGCTCCCTGAAGCTGAGACAGCCAAGCGTTAAGGGATGCCTCTTCTGGTCCCTCTGAGCTTGCCTGCCTTGGGGTTTGCCCAGGCCTCAGGAGGAAAGAATTAAGTTTGGCTAGCACTGACAGTGCTCCTTGAGGTCTTGGTGGACAGGACTAGTGGGACTGTGAAGAGGAGGGCCATGGTAGCCACCCTGGCATGCCCTACGGGTAGGAGGGGGAAGCAATAAGATAGTGGTGGGACCCACCTGTGGAAGCCACCCCTTCTCTGCTGTGGGGCATCCACATCTGCCAGCCTCTGCAGTTCTGAGGAGGTGTCATCATCAGCTGTGGAGTGTGGCCTGCAGAAGAAAGAGCAGAGTTGACCCAGGGTTCTCAGTGCATGACTTGTCTCCCCTCCAGGGTTGTGCTTAGAAATTCCATGATCTTTTAAGAGGGTGTCCTGGAGACAAAGACTGCTGGCTCTGTGACGATGAGGCAGAGGTGGGAGAAGTAGCAGTGTCCGCCTCCTCCCTGATGCCACACAGACTCACCTGCTGCTTGTCCTGTGGTCATCTTTGCCACTGGCCTTGATGGCAGGGGCTGCACGATGGTTGTGACTATTGGCTGGGGAGCTCTTCATGCCATTCGCTTTTTCAGTCATCCTCCATGTACAACCAGAGCCCTTATCTGCCAGGAAGAAGGCCATGAAAAAGGTTCCAGAGGACCCTGACACCCACAGAGAGTGGGAGAGTGGCAAGTGAATGGATGGATTATAACCCAGGGCCACCTGGCCAACTGCACCCTTGACGTTATGGATAAGATTGGTTAGCATGGAACTTTCAGCCTACTGAAAATTGATAAAAAGAAAATTATTATATAGATAATTGTTCTAGTGTCACATGAAGGTGGTACACGGATGATTGCGTACATGTAGCCAAGTACCCACTTGCCAGGCCCCAGGGGTCAAGACAATGAGCGTACTCCCCCAACCCTAATATGTAATTGTAAATGGAAACAGTGCAAAACTACAAAAAAGTGTTTTTTATTTTACCACAGTATATATTTTTTTCATACAAACCACTAAAGCTAAAAGCGTAGGCACAGGAAGATGGCTTAAACAGTTTTTGTTTCTTTTGTTTTCTTTTAGCTTTGGTGGTTTGATAGTGAGGGCTCTCTCCTCTGTGCAGAGCAGGAGTGTGACAAGGGCGGATCCCTCTGGCTGCTCTGTGGAGCCTGCATTAGAGGGAGAGCAAGGGTGAAGGTGGGGTGGCGGGAAGGAGGCTGGACAAGAGCACTGATGGAGACCAAGACAAGAGGGCAGAGCTATCTAAGAGGAGAATGGATGGAAGCAGTGGGTGTGGGGAGCAATGGAGAGAGAGAGTGGGTAGGATCACAAAAGAAGAGGAGACAGAGTGAGGGCCCGGGCCAGAGTTGTGGAGGACCCCAATATTTAAGCCCCAGATTTCCCACAGCCCCTGCTGCTGGACCCACAGTCCCTAAGCTGTTCCTGGAGCTCCCTCAACCCCCGCCCAAGCTTGTTCCAGCCTCTGAAGCTGTCACCATGGCGATGGCAGGCGCGTCAAACAGCCTCAGAGATGCTCACCTGGTGCTCTCTGTGGGACTAGGGCACCAGGATAGTAATGAGGGCACTTGAGGAAAAGGAACCAGCATCACTGAGTCCCTGCTTGGACCCTGGAGGCAGCGGACCATGGAAACAAAAAGTTTCAGGCAAACAAAGCCAGAGCCGTTCACACCAGAGGGACAGGGCTCGCCTCCTGGAAAAGGTGGTGTTGAAACTGAAGATGACAGATCAAAAGGGCTGTAATCCAGTGCCAGGCCAGTGCTAGGGACACAGCTCATGTTCAAACCCTCTCTAAGTTTCTGTCACAAAGACAGATTCCCCTACCCCGTGACTCCTGCTCCTTCTGTACCAGGAATAGGCCGATCCCTCAGCCTGGCTGCCTGCATACACTCCTCTTTGTCAGAAACTACCACCTCAGGCTGCTTGCTGGAAACAAGGCAGTTGGGGTGGTGGGTCTCATGTATACACCCTCTCCAGGAAACCCCAAGTCCCAAGACTCCAGCTACCATCATGTCAAATCAGCTCATCAAATTTACCCACCTCTGAAAGGGGCCTGCCCTCTTCCCAGTCACTCAAGCTGGAATCCTGGGGTCACCCATAACTCCTTTTTTCCTTTATCACATCCAAGCAGCCTCTGTCCTGAGTTCTTTGTCCCTCTAAAAGTGTCAAGGTTCTGTCCACCCATTGCCCTTCATCCCCAAGGCCTTGGCCTGGTGTCAAGCCTTCAACATGACTCTCCACACCTGCTGCAGCAGATTGTGGATGGCTCAGCATTCACTGGGGTCTGGACTGGAGGGGGCACATGACCACCAGGGTTTACATTGCAGATAAAGCGTTTGGGGGGATGTGCCCATCCCTATACCATGAGAGCAGAGAAAAGCTAAGGGTAGAGCTCTAGTGAGCTGCAACCATGAAAGATGGCAGAAGGGCTGAGTGAGTGAAGGAGAGTGACGCTGGGAATGTGAGAAAGATGAGTGAGTTCCCAGGGAGGGCAGACTTGCAGGAAGGGAGCTGTCTGCAAGGCCAATGCCCCACTCCCATATCAGGAAGATAAGTGCCCTATGCCGGGTACTTCTTTCCCAAGATGAGAGCTGGAGCGGGCACTGGGTGGAACAATAGGAGCCTTGCTGGGGATCTTATCTGGGGGATGTCAAGGAGTAGTAGTCAAAGAGAACATGGTTCATGAAGTTTCAAGCGAGGAGTAGGAGGGACAGATAAGACATAGAGCACATACCTCACTCTTTGTAAGAGATTGACCCCCCAAAAAAAGAGGAAAGATAAAGTGGGAACTGGAGGGGGATGTGGGGCTGACAAAGGTTCTCTGTGTTGCTGTTGTTATAATTCTATGTCAAGAAGATAATAAAGCAAGCTTAAAGGTTTTGAGGAGGAATTCAGTCGATAATAAAAATACATGTGCTTCTGAGAAACTCCAGTTGAGGATGGAGCCATGAAAGAAGGGTGGAATGGGAAGGTTCACGTACCAGCGGAAGTGAAAGGAGACAGATCCAGGACAAGAAGAAGGGGCTGCTGAGAAACAGGCTATGAGACAGTTGAAGGGATTCACTCTTGCAAAACCCCAGTGTTCTAAGTGAAATGCAAGGAATGGGAGGGGTCTCATCTTCAGAACATCAGGCAGCAGTAGCTGCAGACTTTGGAGGAGGCGGCCGGAAGGTTTGCGAGGACAGACAGGGGATTCCCAACAAGTGTGAGGACAGGAAGACGACAGACCATGTAGCTGCCAAAGAGAACAGAGATGGGCAACAGATCTTAGATGAGCAGTGGGGTCCTCAAAAGGGCATGACTTAGCCACAGTCAAGGTGGACTTGTAGGCCTCTTTTTCTCCTTATCCACAAATTGACTTGCCAGCCTGACTGAGACTCTAAAGAAAAGCCAGCCTAGTCAAGGAGTTCACTGAAAGCATTTTGAGGAAAATTCCTTCTTAGAGAACTTAAGTTAGAGAGAGAAGGAACAAGTTTATCATATAACCAAGATTAGAAGTTTCAGTTCACAGCCCATTCATCCACTCATCTACCTCATACACATCCCCAAGGCACCTACTGTGTGCCAGGTTCTGTGCTGGGTGCTGGTTTAGAAAGAAGAGTGGCAGTCTCTTATCTCAGCAGTGCTCCCAGAGTAAGAGACACACAGGAACACGATTTACCCCAAGTCAGTTCTCTCTTCATATTCTATTCTGTTTCCGAGCAGCATCTAACAGTTTATACACTCCATCTTTCTTGAAATAATGGATTCTACTTCCCTCATTCTCCTCCTACCTCACTGGCCACTTCTCAGTGTTCTTTGAAGAGGCCTCTTCCTCTTCCCCAACTCTAAATGTTGGAATGTCCCAAACTCAGCCCTTAAAGGGACCTCTTGTCTTTTCTCTCTTCATCACCTCCTTCTCCAGTCTCATCGCTTTAAATACATCTGTATGTTGATGAATTGCAAACTCTTAACAGCAGTTCAACCTTTTCCACGGACTCTAGTTTACTTCCCTCACATAACCACTTGGATTTTGAATAGGTATCTCAGTCTCCATATGTCCAAAAGTGAGTTCTTTATCTTCTCCTCCAAAGCTTGTTCTTCCATAATCATCTGCATCTTAGTAAAGGCAATGCCATACTCCCAGTTAGTCAGGTCACAAACCTTAGCATCATCTTTCACTCCTCTTTTTTTTTCATACCCCATGGATTCTACATATATGCAAATCATACGGACTCTACCTCCAAAACATACCTTGTATCCAATCACTTATTATCTCCACCATTACCATGTTAATCCAAGCTACCATATTTCCTCAGTGCCTGGCACATAGTAGGTGCTCAATGGTCCCTGCATTTGTCCCAGTTGATTACTCCCTCTCTTTTTACTTCCATTGTACAGCATAGGATCCTGCTCTATCAATTATTTGATTTTAAAGGAACATGCAACACTTTTCCTCTTAGCCAACATTGAGTAACAGGAATCAGACTTTTCCTAGAGAATGAAATAACCAAACTTAGAAAAAATACATGACACAACAGTTTTCAAGACTATAAACATTAGGCTACAAAAGACAGCCATCCTTAAGAGACAGGATCAAATGAGATGAATCCTGTGACTGCCCCAGATTACTCCCTTGTGAGAGTTTCCAGGCCATGGCACAGAACGGAATGCAGGTGGAACCTGATGGATGCCTCCCTGGGCTAAGGAGACAGAGCAGAGAGTGAAAGTTTGCAGACCAGAGTGCTGCAGAGGAGAGAGCTGCACAGAGAGAGGTCTGGAGACCTGCAAAGAGTCTTTCCAAGTATTCAGCTGAGTACTTATTAGCACACAGTCATGAGGTGGTTATCCACAGCTTAGGAAAGAAGCATCCCCCCAAATTAGACACTATACTTCCCAGCTCTTACTGGGATAGTGCTTGATGCCACCAGCCAAACTGAAAACCTAGTGGTTCATAGGCTACTGGCTCAAGAATGTTTCTAGAATTACAAAAACACATAGCACCCAACAAAGTAAAAATCACAGTGGATAATTTCTTCATAATGAGGAGGCAGCAATCTATCAATTGAAATAAACCCAGAATTGACACAGGTGTACAATTAGTAGACAAGTATATGAAAACAGCTAATATGACTGTATTCTATATGTTTGAAAAGCGAAGTAGGGCCATGAAATATATAAAATGACCCAAATCAAATTTCTAAAGATGAAAACTATAATTTTTAAGATGAAAATTACACTATATGGGATTAACAGATGACCAGATATTGCAGAAGAAGGAATTAGTGAATGTACAGACAAACTTATCTTAAATGAATTTACAATATTTATTTAGACAATGAAACTATTCACAATGTAGCACAGAAAGAAAAGAGAATCAGAAAACAACAATAGCAACAACCAAAAGCCAAGCATCAGTGAAAACTGCACCAAGGCATATAAGTACCCAATTGCTCACATCCACTGATAATAGGGAAATCGTAAAAGTTGCCCAAGAAATATGAATGGGATGTAATATCCAGTAACAAAGGCACAAGTGACAGCAAGACCTCTCTGCTAAGCTTCAGGCTTTCCTTCCAACTTCCGACTGGACATTACTCTCTGACTGCCCTTGGAAAACTGCAGCTCATCTTACCTCAAGTCACGCTGTTTATCGCCACCATCGGCCCTTTGACAGATAGACATTTGTGACTGACTGGGCCCTCAGACATTCAACTGCCGGCTTTCAGGGTGGCTTGGCATTCTAACTTCTCCCTGAAGAGCATTCCTGGGTTCCTTCTCCCTGTCTTCAGCTTTCTGCCAAGTTTCCTGGGTCCTGGGGTGAAACCTGTGTTCAGACTATGCTACCCTTCTTGCCAATACTGCCTGCACTAGAGTGTGTACCGTCTGAAAGCAGGCATCGGTGTCTGTGTTCTTGTCCACTGCATCCCTACACAGCACCGGATGGATTTTGAAAAGCATTGCATACATGTTGGTGGGTAGAAGGAAGGAAGAGAGAGAGAGAGAGAGAAATAGATAGATAGAGAGAGAGAGAGAGAGAAAACGACATAAAGGCTAGAACTTGGCAAAGTTCTGAGGAATGTCAAAAAACAGAACTCAGAAAAGTGCTGAGCCTGAAGGAAAGAAATTTTTAAAAGGATGTGAACTATCACCATTTCTACACAATACTGTGCTGGATTTCTCAATACTTGTGTATTTCAGTGCAATAAACAAGTACTGAAAATAAAAAGAAATGTTTTAAATAGACTTTGGTTAATAATTTAGAGCATATTTCAAAACTGCTAAAAGAGGACATTTGAAATAGTCCTGACACAAATGATCAATGTTTGAGATTATGAGCATCCTGGTGACCCAGATTTGATTATTACACATTGTATGCATGCACCAAAATATCATGTGTACCACATAAACATGTATAGTCTCTATGCACCAACAACAAATGTTAATGTAAACTACAAAACCATGATGATGAGACTGGAGGAAACATTTTATATAATACTTAGATTGGAAGACAATACCATGAAAGAAAACATTGAACATAAATGCACACTAAACCGAAAATTTTAAGGCATACAACACACTGAAAAAAATGCTTGACAGAGAAAAACAAATTTATTTATTTAATAAACAGAGATCTCAGAAATCAACATATGGAAAAATAAAAACAGTAAAATCATAAAAATGTCGGTGCAAGGTTGCTAGTCACAGTGATGTATACCTTAATGAATTCATCAACTAACCCAGTGAACCAAGACCATAGGGTGGAATACTATGCAGCCCTTAAAACGGTATCGCTATTGTAAAAGACTGCTTTTTGTCTAGGGGAAAACAGGTTTCAAAATGGAATATTCTGTAATGTTAATAATGTTAGTCCATGCATGCATGTGTGATATATATTCACACATAGATACATAAACTCACAAGATCAAGACTTTATGTCTCAATTCTGAGGAGGTGGGGAAATTGTTTTCCTTTGTATATTTTTTATAGTATCCAATATTCTGTTTTGTAATGTGTGGTGTCTGTAGTCAGGAAGGGAGGTTATAGGGCTGTATAATAAAATAACATATTACTTTAAACCTTAATTTAAAACCACAACAACAGCAAAAATCCAGCCCATTTTGATTTCAGATTCAAGTTAATACCGGGTCAAGCCAAAGTTTTTTCACTGAGATTGGGAAGGGATCTCTTCCATGGTTAACAGCCTACAGAGTCAGACTACTACACATCTTAGCCAGAAACTAGTCCCCAGATAGGCAATATCTGACACATTTTAGTATCAGATATTTTCCATTGCAGCAGCAAAAGTCTTGGGCAGCAGGCAGAGAACGGTACAGGGGAGAGTCGTAGACATCATGGGGGCAGGGCGGTAGAGCAGGCAGGCAGGGAAGCAGGGAGGTGCGTGGGCAAGCAGCGATAGCGAAGTCCCAGAGGAAGCAGTGGGTATCCCTGACAGGAAGCTGGAACCTGGTGATTCAGGGGCAGGTTCTCATTCATGCAGCAGCTACCTTGTGCTAAGTACTTGACATAAGTTAATTCATTTAATCCTAATGACGACCTGACAAAGCCGACACTATTCTTGTCCCCATCATTGCACAGACTCGTACCTAAGCAATTTGACTCCAGAAGCACACTCAGTCACAGGGCCAGCCTGGAAGGCAAAAGGAGCCAGGGATTCGGCAATTACTAAAAAGAGAGGTATGATCAGAACTGCACTGGAAGCAGCAGGCTCCTGGGCTGACTTCTGAGTGTGGTGCGGAAGCTGCCATGACCCTGTGCCCAGGCTCAGGAGGGACAGTGTGAGAGGACCCTGCGGTGGTAAGGTGAGCTGCAGGAGCTGGAGGTGGAGAGCATCCCCAGCACTCACTAGGCAGGCAGTGGGCCTTTGAGTCTGAGCAACCCCAGCCTCCCTGAGTTCAGGCTCCAGTACAGCAGCTTCATGCACTAAGTCCTTGAGAACTACTTGTTGAAAGAATAAAATTTCCAGAAGGATGCACAAGAGGCAGGGCTTTGCCCAAGAGGCTTGGCAGGCCAGCATGGTTGATCACCACCTTGACAAGGGGCTGAAACCTCTAGTGGGGACACCAGTGTGTCGGGCTGCTTTTGCCAAGGGAGACTTTGTCTCCTTACAGACAAAGATGGGGCTGGGGCAATATACCTGGCATCAGCCACATATAGCCCATATCCCAGGGGAGGCTCCTTCTAGAAGGTCGACCAAGACAGGCTGGACCCTAGTGATTGTAGCTCACCTCCCTAAATGCTCCTGTCCTCACTGAGAAGCCCCTCCTGAATTCCACATCTCCAGGTGCCCATGGGCCATCTCCATCTCCTAGAGGCAGCCACTGGCCCTTGAAACCAACATGTTCTAACTGCCATGAACTTCTGCCCCTCAGCCCCAGCTCCTCTGTCCCTAGCACCTTATCTGGAGAAAGGCACATTTTGCCTCACATGTGCTCAATTAAGAAACCTAGGAGTCATCCTTGATACCTCCCACCCACTCCCCAAATAGTATTTGTTATTCTGCTGGAATCTCTCTCCAGCACCTTCTTCTCCATCCATTGTGACCTGCGGCTGCCCTGGGCCTTGGCCAGACTCTGTTCACAGCCTCACTGTTTCTGTATTTTCAGATCCCAGCCCTTCCTTTCCTTTACCTTCCATGCCACCAAGGCGAGTTCCACAGGACCACACCTGGTCCTGTCTGTTGCTCCTCTTTTAAAACCCATGGAAAGAAGGCCACACGCTAGACATAAAATTTATATGGAAAGGACTCATCTAATTTTGTTAGTCATTAACCCAGTGAAGCATATAATAAGTGTTTGATACGCATTCGGCAAGTAAATAAATGAATGAATGGATGAATGAATGAATTCCCTGATCTTGCTCTGTACTCCCCCAAATCTACCTTGTTTCGTGTTCACTTGTATCCCACTTTATTTATATCATAGATTTGTCATCTCCTGATAATGAACTACATATTTAATTGCTTACTGTCTGTCCCTACTGGATGTTCACTTCCATGTAAGCAGGGACCACATGTGTCTTGTTCCCTGCTGCATCCTGGGATTAGGGATCATGTCAGGTATTTCTTGGATGGATGGAGGGATCATCTAAATAATACATTCTAAACTCTGTACTTGGGCTTTCACACTCCTTCAGGATCTCACTAGAAACAACTCTGCAGCCTCATCTCCTATGGGACCATTTTGTGTTGGAGCTTAGCGGGGTGGGGCCACAGCTGGTCTTGGTAGTTTTGTGGCCACCATGATACCTGAGGACCAGCCAGGTACACATTCTATCTGCCACATGCTTGTGTCCAGTCCAAGCACTAGAGTCCCTCCCTGTGGAGAAGGTGGTGCTGAGTGGTGCCAAGGAGAAGTTGGAGGGGGCCCAGCTATGCAGAAAGAGGGGCCCAGGGACCCAGCTACTGGCAGGATGTGCAGAGATGAAGCTGCCTCCTATGACCACAGTCTCACATGGACACAGCCTACACTTGCCATTCTGGATTCAAGCTGAGATGGATACAAGAACAGCTGGAGAGCCCAAACGGGGTGCCAGGCCTGCAGCAGCCCTGAGAGCCTGTCTCTGCACCAGGCCTGCTGCCTGGATCCAGAATCTTCCCTTGGCCAGAAGCTCCAAGGGCTTCACCCCCCATGGATTGCCCCAAATGGCAGAATGCTGCAATCCCAGCATGGTTCCTGGGAGAAGCCCACAAAACCCACACCACTACCTCCACTGCTTGTCATATGCACAGAACTACAGGTTCCAGGTGAACACTGCCCATGCTCTGAGGCTGGGGAGCCCAGAAATACTCAGAGTCAGGCAGGCAGCGAAGGCCAATGGGTCTCCCCCTCCCTCCCACTGAAGCTTGCCTGTTGGGCAGGCCCTCAGCCCCTCTTCTCCAGTAACCCTCCCTGGCACTCTCCTGGGAAAGGAAAAAGTCCTCGCTGCCTCAGGACGAGCCTTGTGTGGCACTCAGTGCCTCCACCCTCCTAGAGCCCCAAGTAATTTATTTGGCTACTTTAACAGGGCACAAAGTTTCCCAACACAGCCAGTTTCCTCAGCTCCCTTGGCAGCCCATGCACTTGAAGACCATGTGAAGCCAGGTGGTAGGGCCCACACACTTTTCGCAGACTCTGGCTCTGCACCCCCTGGAGGCAACGGGCCCATGGTCACAGAAAGGTATCAGCCCAAGGTCAGCCCCTTTCCTCACCAATCAGACGGCTTCAGAGGCAGGGGCTCTCCTGGCCACAGTGAGCATCTGTTGGTCCTTTTGTACAACCTCCAGAGACAAACTTTTGGGGCTCATCAGCATCTGGAGCCAGCAGAGATCGCCTGCCGGTCCTGCCCCTCAGGCCAGTGGGGCCCTTGAGCACCTAACAACTCAGCTGCAGCCTCCAGGTCAGGAAGCTGACCCACCCTGCCCAAGGCCAGCAGGGGAAGCTGGCAGAGACCGAGAAGACATCATGCCCACGGCTAAGGCAAACTCAAGGTGCTGGCCCAGGGTGTTGCCTGCCCACTGGAGAAACTGGCCTGTCTGTGAGCCCTGTACACCCCAGGCTCTTGGCAGGCGACAGCTGGATGCTGGGCTGCCTGGCTGTGTAAGCTGCTTGCCTGCCCAGATCCAGGAGCCAGCCCCTCCCAAGCTCCCTGAGGAGCCCTCCTTTGCATGGAGCATGCCCAGAGCTTTGTGTTTGGGTACTCAAACCTACCAGCTCACAGTCCTGGTGTACTTGCCTCCAGGCCTTGGCACAATCCTAGCTAGTCCACCTGGCCAAAGGTCAAGCCAGGCAGAGATCTCAGAGAAGAGGCACTTGGGGTAGGGCTGGCCTGAGGGGGATAATCCAGGAAGGGCTGGGGTTAGGGAAGGGAAACAAGGCAAGCCCCTTGGGGTGATGAGCTTTGGGCTCCTTTCCAAGAAGTCAGGATTTCGAGCTGCTGCTGGGTACACCAGAGTCCCCTCCATGCACCCTCATGCTCCCCTCCTCACATGCCCACCTTCCTCTTCCCACCTTCCCCCAGCTGCCAGAAGCCAGCCTGTAATAAAAGAACTGGAATATTGAGTTTCAGCTTTTTCCCAGGACTGGCAGGGGACCCGGGGCCCACTTGGCAGGGCAGGGAACTACACAAATGGAGGACTGAAGCTTTGCCCACCTGTACAGCCAGCTGGGAAGACAAGCCACTCCCTCAGGGGGGTTGCTTGTGGAGGCTTAAATGACATCCTGCGTGCAACGCCTGGGGTACATATAGGTGCAGCATAGGGAGTTTGAGAGGATACACACCAACCAAACCATGTGAAATATCTCTGTGGAGGGACTTGGCATTTGGGGTGCAAGGGACTGTTAGCAATGCTTGCAATGTTTGTCTTTTTGGGGAGAATGTGTTCATGCACAAATTGTGTAATTAAATATTTTTAAGATGCAATGTGTATGACACAGAGTAGGTGTGCTGCCTTTGGTGGCCGGGAGGGAAAGACCAGGGCTAGAATCACTCTCTAGGGACCCTAATCAGAGGCCATTCTGCCAGTCCTTTACTTGTGCCAGAATACAATACAGGCTACCTTGTGCACTCAAGAAGCTACTGATCCAGTGGAGGACTGACTGTGTACCCCTCTAATAGTAAGCCTGGGCAGCCCCTGGGAAGCTTCACAGACTAGAGATAAACCACATGCCAAGTAAGAATTAGTTCTTTCTCTCCTTCATTCACCCACAGCATCCTGTTTCTCCATGGGGAAATCCATGGCTTGCTGGGGGAAGGGCTGGGGGAAGGGTGGAGTGCTTGGGCGAGGCAAGGACAGCTTGGCAGAGAAATGCAATCAGATAGGCAAATGCTCCAAGTGGGTCAGAGCCAGAGGGCCAGGCAGGAGGTGCCAACTTGCCTCCTGGCACTCTGCCCCCTGAGCCTCCCTGGGTCTCTCCCAGGGGCTTGGGAATCACAGATGTGCCACCCACCACAATATAGTTCCCATACCCCTTAAGCAACATTACAGAGGGATCCAGCCTGGGCAGCTCTGACTCCAGTTCCTCTCAGGAACTTCCTGAAGTCTTCTAGGTGGGGCAGGGAGTTCTAGAGATAGACCAGGAATGCACAGCTAGGAACTGGCCCCAGCCCTGCTGGGAACCAGCCAAGTGGTCACACAGCAAGGCAGGGTGGAGGCCCAGCCAGGGGTTCCTTATGAGCTCACCTGGCTCCGGAGATGTTCCTCTGGGACACTGCCATGCTGTTTGTTTGCAACTCAGCTAATTTGCTCCCAAGGGTGAACCTTTGTTTCACAACATATTTTCAGCCAGACTTTCTGCAAACATGTCCATGTGTGCACAGGTTCACGAACACTCAGGTCTCAAGGGCAGACCCAGCCCCACCTGGCTGCAGCCTCCTCTTCCTCTGAGCTTCCCTGTGAAGACTGACTGGGTAGGAGAAAGGGGCAGCCCGGGGTAGACAGTGTGAGGGCTGACCTCGTGGCAGTGGGAACACTGGGCTGACGGCAAGAAGGGCCCATTTGCAGGGACAAGGAACACCCCTGGTACTCCCTGATCCTCTTGGCTGTCTCGGCCAGAAGTGTTCATAGCTGGGTGCTGCTGTTTCCCCACTCTGCAGAGGGGCTTCCAGTGGTACGTGATTAGCTCTGTGTGCTCTGGGACCAAAGAGAGAATCTCCAAACTGTTTCTTTCCTAGGTGTCCTTTCTCTGCTTTGAGCAGGGCCCAGGCTCCAGGGGCCACGTGCCTGATGTCCCACAGGGCTGACAGGAGGCCCTGCATCCTCATCTTAGAAGTATTACAAGTCCCAGAGTGTCAGGTGTGGAAGAATCCCCTCAGTGTATAGGAGCCCACTGAAAACCAGAGAAAGATGTGGAGCAGGGGCAGAGCAGGCTGTGGGACTCAAGCTTCTCCCTCTCCCTCTCCCCATCCCCTAACTTCCCTCCCTCTGCCTCTCTGTATCTCTCTGACTCTCTCTCTCTCTGCCTCCCCCTTCCTCCCTCCTTTCTTCTCTCCCTGCCCCCTTCTCTCTCTCTCTCTCTTTCTCTCTCTCTCTCACACACACACAGAGAGACACACACACACACACAGATATATTCATTTCATACCTAGTGATGAACACACTCCCCTATCTTTACAGATGGAGAATCCTTGACAGATTTGGGGGATTAGGGAAGGTGCACTTAGCAACTGAAGCCAATGAGAAAGTTCTGGGTCCCCACCCCCAGAGACATGTGTGTCGGTCCCTTGGTCCCAGGAAAGGGATTGCAGCTGTTCCGCAGGCCTCCTGCTGCCAAGCACATGTGCACTGTGGTCAGGCCCCCACATGGCAGGCAACACTCTGCACCTCTCAGGCTCAGTCCCACTGGACGACCCACCTATCCACCCTGACTGAGGTGAGCTTCAAGGACTGTGGACCCAGCGTGTGTGGTGGATAGCGTGTGGGTATGTGTAGCTCCTATTCAGACTCCAAAGCTGAGGCAGGACATCATCTCCAGTGAGTCTGTCTGCGGGAGGCCGGCCGAGCTGTAGCGTAGGACTCAGGAGAACTCACACCAGAACTCACACCCAGGCCCTGTCTCACTGGATGACCCAGGGACATGTTTCCCCTCTCTGGAATTCAATTTCAATTTTTGTCCTGGTCAAATGAGAAGGTTTTTGGTCCCTTTTGGGATAGTTCCTCTGATTGCATCCCTGCAACACAACCCAGACAAGCTCCCAGAACCACACCCCCACAAGCACTCATTGGCATGAGCCCACCAGGAAGAATTTTGCAAAGCTGGGGCTAGGGACAGTGAGGCTGGAGAGGTGAAAGGGAGGAGGGAACCAGGGCCTATGGGGCAACTGCAGAGGCTCAGTCTCAGCCACAGTGTCTTTGTGAAGAGGAGCTGTTCCCCAGGGCACTCCGCCCCCACTGTTGCCCCAGATGAGTACTGGACACAGAAACCTCAGCCACAGGGTTTTGCTGCTATAGCTGAACTTTTATTGAGTGTGTTATCTGTACAGAGGCTTGTGCGTGAGATGGAAGCAAACAAGGGAGGAAAGCGAGGTCACGCCCCTGTCCACAGAGGACTGAACAGAGGGCTGCTGGGGTCAGGTGTTACTGTGGGGCCCAGATGCCGCCATGCTTTTCATCCTTTAAAGGGTGTCATCTCAGCTCATGCAGTGTTCCTCCACTTTGCATCAGCTAGGACCTCCCAAAGCTGTGACCTGGCCTCCCCAGGCAGGGGGCTTAACCAGACTTGAAAAAATGGCCCTGATGCTGCCTGGGGGGTGGGCAAGAGCGGCCAGGGAAGAGGAAGGAAAGAAGGAGAAGCAGGGAGGACTCCAATGCGTAGGCCTAGCTTTCTGTGATCACTGGTGCATCCACAGCCACAGGTTGGCAATGCTGGCTGACAACAGCAAGGCGAATATCAGGGTCTCCTTCTGACGCCAGGTGGCGTCCTGCTCCTCCAGGGCACGCAGACGCCCACTGACTCCACACAGCTGCAGAGGAGCCAAAGGCAGGGCTGCTGAGCAAGGCTCTTCTCCCAAAGCCCACAGCACAGCCACGGGAAAAGCATAAAGTTAGAGCAAGAAGGGGCTTGGATGCCCTTTGGCAGTGGGGCGGGGAGCACCCCTAGTAAGAAGCAGGCCTACGGGATGTTCACTTCCATTCTCTGAAAGAGGCAGCCCATTCCAGCCAGGGAGCCAAGGAAGGAAGGGTCTCCTCCTGAGAAGGTCTGGGTTTTGTTTGAACAAAGGCAACCCCTCTCTCAGACCCTTGGGCACCACTCTATCCCTGGACATAGAACCCTTATCCTTGTATGTTCCCTCTTCCTCCACCTTTTCTCTGCCCCTACTCTCTGCCAGCATCTCAGGGACAGCAGTAGGTTTGAGACTGGACATTAACCTGGGGTGTCAGAGCCATGGAGCTGGAGAGAAAGAGGAAGGGAACCTGCCCCACCTCCAGCGCTAAAGGGAAAGATGACTGTAAGGGACTACAGGACCCCAGCTGTCAAGCCCTGCCAACTCCAAGGCACCGTGATTCTCCCTGCACCCACCAATTGGGTCCCTCCTCACCTGTCTTTTGATAATTTCCATCTCCAGTCCATTGAACCCTTCCAGGCCAGTCTCCGCCACTGTACCTGTCTCTGGATTGCTGGGAGAGAAAAAAGACAGAGGGTCAGAGCTGCTGGTGGTCCCTGGCAAGGCCTGGCAGGGAGCACAGGAAGGCAGTGAGGGCAAGCAGGTAATATCAGGATCTTTTGGACAAATACCCTATCAGCCTCCAGTCCTCTTCCATGGTAAAGAGGGCCTATGGCCTTGAGGGCTGGGAGTCACCCTGAGCTAGCCTGAGCCAGCCTGATGCAGCCCAGCTCAGCCCAGCTCGGCTGGGCTGCAGAGCACTGGGATGCCCCAAATGGGCTTGGAGCCAGGGTGCTCAAGGTCTCTGCCAAGCCCTCAGAACTCCTTCCTGGCCAGGCTGCTCACCAACCCTTCTGCCCCATTCGGGGACCTGTCTGAGTAGCCAGGCCCCACAGACCCCCAGCTCTTACCGTATGCCTTGGAAACTACCAGGGCACTCCTGGAAACGGGCTTCCCCATGGCCTGATTCTCTCAGCATTCTGGGCAT